AACAAAGCCCCAGTTATTTTATTGGAATCAACACAGTCCTTGTTTTTAACAAATTACTTGAAGTTTAAATTTTATCAGAGGGACTTCCCTGGTGGTGCAGTGATTAAGAATCCGCCTGTGAGGACAGGAATAAAGACACAGACATAGAGCATGGACTTGAGGACACAGGGAGGGGTAAGGGTAAGCTGGGACGAAGTGAGAGAGTAGCATGGACATATATATACTATCAAGTGGAGAATAGATAGCTAGTGGGAAGCAGCTGCATAGCACAGGGAGATCAGCTCAGTGCTTTGCGACCACCTAGAGGGGTGGGATAAGGAGGGTGGGAGGGAGACGCAAGAGTGAGGGGATATGGGGATATACATATGCATATAGCTGATTCATTTTGTTATACAGCAGAAACTAACACAACATTGTCAAGCAATTATACTCCAATAAAGATGTTAAAAAAAAAAAAGAATCCGCCTGCCAGTGCAGGGGACACAGGTTTGAGCCCTGGTCCAGGAAGATCCCACATGCCACGGAACAACTAAGCCCGTGTGCCACAACTACTAAGCCTGCACTCTACAGCCTGTGAGCCACAACTACTGAGCCCGCCTGCCACAAATACTGAAGCCCATGCTCCACAACAAGAGAAGCCACTGCAATGAGAAGCCCACGCACCACAATGAAGAGTAGGCCCTGCTCACCGCAACTAGGGAAAGCTCGCGTGCAGCAATGAAGACCCAACACAGCCAAAAATAAATAAATAAATAAATTTAAATAAATAAACGTTACCAGAACAGAATCTCAGGAAACCTTTGGGTCCACGGCCTCCCTGACCTCAAGGAAGAAGTTATCCTAATGACTATCTTACGTGCATGATGCTTTAGTAAGAACCTATTTGAGAATATGTCACATCAAGAAAGCAATGTCTCTTCTTTCTAGCGCACCTAAAGTAATTTTCTCACATTTTCCACCTAGCTGCTCCTTGGTTCTTTCAAGATTTGTTTATTTTTGGTTCCTGTAGCAAGTCTGCACATTCCCTGAGGACGAGGGTTTTAATTTTTGCAAGTGATGAAGAGGATACTTTCCAAATACTAAGATTCTTTCTTGGTGGCAGGATGATGGTTTCCCATGGAAACAATTAGGGAAGTTGTTTGAACTCCAGAGCCTGGCTGCCAAAACAAAACCAAAAACAAAAGGAAGGAACTCAACTATGTCTGAACGTTTATTGAAAACAGCAGCTGGAGAGCCCTGTGCTCTCTGTGGACAGTCCAAGACAGGACAGCATCCAACAGAACCAGAAAATCGGCACTGCTCACCCACAAGGCCCTCAGACCCCAAATCATATGTCTGAATCCCAGTTGCGTGTGTCAAAGAAGCTGTCGGTGAAAATTGGCCTTTCCTGTGTCCTTGGCTTCTGTCCTCTGGGCCCTTCCTTGAAGGCACCCACCTGTGGGCCCAGCACCAGATAGCAGCTCTGTCCTGTCCTTCCCAAATTCAAGTGGAGAGCCGGCCCTCCCCAAACAATTACGCAAGAACTGGGGCCCCATGGGCATTGTTTTCTCCAAGTTTCCTTCCTACTAGAGGGAATTATAACGGCTTTTAAGTTAAAATAAAAGGAAGAGTAGGGTTTACACTCCAGCTTTGCCTTTTACAAGTTTTGTTCCCTCGGCTGTTAATTTATCCACTTAGAGCCCGACTTCCTCATCTCTCAGGAGGACCCAGGCCCCGCAGGCTTTCTGGGAGCATCAGGTCAGGTGCTCAGAGCACTCAGCCCTGGTTACCCTGGTTACCACTGAGCTGTTACCACAGCTCCTCTCAGGCCCCAATCAGAAGGCGGCCAGCTCCGGGCTGCACGGGAAAGGCAGCAGGTGTAGCCAAGTTACCTTAACGACCCTGGAATAAAAGCCTTGGGGGGTTAGCGCTGAGGCTCAGACGCGCGGAGCCCACTCTCCGGGGAACTTGGGAGAAATACGGTGCTCAGGACCCTCCCTGACCTGGGACCCCCCCCCCCAACCCCCATCCCAGGCCTGCTGCGGGCTGAGGGGGGACCAGCCCCGAGCGGAGGGGCCGCTTTCCCAGGTGAGTCCAGCTCAACCCCATGGGGCAGGGGAGGAGTTCAGGCCCCAGGCCTGCTGTGAAGGTGGTCAGAACTTTCAGGCAGGGGTCACCCTGGGCATGTTTTTCTTCCACATGGGGACCCCTGGGGTCACCTCTGGATAGTGTCCCACTTGTCGTTCCTTCTGCCATTTTTCTCCACTTGCACATTCTAAAATCCCCCAACTCCTCTTTATTCATGCCTTTATGAAAGCCTCCCCACCCCCCCACCCGCCAGAAATGAGGTCTTCAGGAGCACGTGGGGGAGGGCGGGGGCCAGGGAGCCGGCGTTAACTCGTGCGCTTGCGTCCTGGTGATGGAGGGTTGGTAGGGCTCCAGCGTTTGGTGGTCAGTCTCTCGATTCAGGGGCCACAGAATAAAGTCCTAGAATCGCGGGGTCTGTGGGAAGGGGCCGAGAGGAGCTCGTTTATCCGTTCGGTTAAGGCCTGAGAGCTGAGGCTGCCTGCATGAGATGCAGGTGTGTCGCCCAGGTGGGTGTAGTGAAGGCCGGTGAGGAAAGGCCGGTGGGGAAGCCTTCCTGGAGGTGAAGGAGCCCCGTCCCTCCTGGAGGTTGAGCGAGGACCCCTCCGGGACATGGTGGCAGTTCTGGGGGAGCTGCAGTCCTGACGTGTAGATGGGGCATCCAGGTGGGACTGAGCAGGTAGGAAGAGCCCGGGGGGCTGGAGATCTCACCTGAAGAGCTTGGTTTTATGAGCACAGGCCCTGAGGAATCCAGGGAGGAACCTGGGCGTTTTTGAGTTTGAGAAAGAGAATGCTGATGCTACCATAGAAAACATCTCAAAAAAGTGTGAGATTACAGCTAGCACAAGGGGAGTGCGTCTACAGGGTGTATGCACTGCGCTCCAAAGGGGCGGGCATGGGAAAGCAAGACACGGCCTCATCTGTGTTTGTTTTTTTAACCGTGTTTTTCAGAGTTCTAGATTTTAGAGCAAAACTGAGGCGAAGTTCCAGAGATTCCCCTCTATCTTCTGCCCCCACCCATGCAGACCCACCCCCACCCTATCAACATCCCCACCAGATGGTGCATTTGTTATAACTGATGACCCTACATGGACACGTCATCCTCACCCAGAGTCCACAGTTGATATTTTAGGGTTCACTCTTGGTGTTGCCCGTTCTATGGGTTTGGACAAATGTATAACGAGGTGTATGCATTATTATAACGTCATACAGAGCAGTTTCACTGCACTAAAAATCCTCTGTGCCCCACCTGTTCATCCCCCCAACCCCCACTGACTTTTTTTTTACTGTCTCCACAGCTTTGCCTTTTCCGACATATGTAATTTTTTTAATAAGAATATATTTATAAATTACTTGTATAATAACAAAAGAGGAAAAGCTGCTTTACTCATTCTGGCCATAACGTGAATAATGTTAGAGGGAGATGGTGGATTCAGGGGAAGTCTGGGGAGGGAAATGTCAGTTTTATGGGCAAGGAGCTGTGGAGGGTATCAGGAGTATCCAGCTTGTGCGAGAGTGAAAAGTTTTGCTAATCTGAGTGAGAGAATACAGGGAACGGAGGCGAAGATGGTGCAGGTGAAATGATTTATTGCATCTTGAAATGCTGAGTTTGAGGGTAGGAGAGACAGCCAGCAAGGAATCAGTAGGTCATTAAAATCCTTCGTGTGATAAACTAGGTTTGAACATGAAGTGGTGAGGCTACCAAATACATAATGTCTACCTGTGCGTAGATGTTAGATATACATTTAACATGGATTTATTTCCAGCTTTTCCGGCTCTGTGAACACTGTAACCTTGCAAAATTGTCACCTTTCAGAGGCAACGATCTCATTCCAGATTTCCAAACTGGCTCAATGTAATTTGTAAATTTGTAACCATCCTCTGAGCAGGTTTACCATCCAAATACATACAAATTTAACCTCCTTGTCTGTGGAGTATATTCCCTGGGACCCAAGGTGCCTTCGTTTGTTTATTTACTTACCAGAAGTACCACTTACTGTATGGTCCATGTTCTCCAACACCTTTAGTCCTGAAGTTTGTTCCCAAAATTTAAATTTACGAAGGAGGCAGATTGGAACTATTGGCCCAGGAGCAGTTAGGCTGGATGCCCAGGTGCTGCATATTCTGAGGCTCAGGACTGCATCCCTAACGAGAGGAATGATCCTCCCTTCTCACTGCTCTCCTGATGGCCTTGTTCATCAGCTGATATGATGATAGAGGGTTTTACAGATGTGAAATCCTGACCTGTTCACGTAGGTCTAGACTTATGGTCCATCGCACAGTTGGCTGCCCCAAAATGGGGCTTCAGTGGAAAGCAGAATGGAGTGTGGCAGTTTTATACAAGGATACATTGCACTTTTAACTTCCTTCAAGGCCCTCTGGGGAAGTGTGGAAATGGCCTAGATTTATCTTGATTAGGTATTATTTATAGTATACTGGTTTAATTGGATCTTTCTTTTAATAAAATTGCATGATTTATATTTAAGGCCACTGACTAAATTACTTTCTTTTACGCTAGTAGCTGGTAATAATTTTTCATCTCCTCCCCAGACCAATGGCCTTTTCAGGCCTATTTTCTTTGAAATTGGCTACCTATAAACAAACATCTCTCCTCTGTTGTTTTGCAATTGGATGGAATCAACCTACGGATTCACACCAAATTGAGGTCGCTCATATTCCGAGTGTGTTTACAGCGATGTTCTAAACCAACAGTGCTCCAGCCTCTGTTCATCTGTGGACTAGGCCACAACATGCTGGTCCCTGCCTTGTACTTTTTTCTCTTCTCCCTGCACTAATCCTGGAGGTTTGTGTTGTGACCACTTTTCATAGGGGCCGTCCGAGAGGTTACACGGTTTTCCCACCATCACAGCTAATTAAATGGCATCACTAGATCCTCCCCAGCCTCCTCAGTAACTACTGTCCCTATTCCTTTGCAGGTATGAATGCTGCTGTCCGAGCTGTCGTGCGCATGGGAATATACGTGGGGGCCAAAGTGTACTTTATCTACGAGGTCAGTGTCACGTCCCCTTCCCGCTTTCTCTGACTCTCAGGAATTGCTGCCTCGTACTCACTTGGGGGCCTCACGCGTGCCTGGGGCTGCTGACTGCAGGCAAAAGGCAGCAGGTGACGGGCAAACTTGGGTACCAATAGGGGAGCCCAGGTACCAGGAGAGGTTACACCCCCGGTCTAGATGCACGTCTGTGAGATTTGTATTAGGGAACAAGGGGAGAAAGGTTATGAAACGGGGCTCAAAATGCCATTTTGATAGCCACCTAGTGTTCTTGTAGGATTAATGATATCAAACTGGTTGTATTTATTTGCAGTTCTCATTCCTTACAGAAGTGATATAGTCACTAAAACTGGGGCCTGAATTTGAATAAACATTAAGCTGAATGGGGGGGAGAGTGGCCACTTTGGGCTTTTCATCATTAATGTAAAACCCAGACCACCTCCCTAGTATCTCTTTATGCCTTAACTTCAAAATGAAGCATCTGAAAGCAAACAGATGGCCCATTATCTCCTGCCTTTGAGGTCCTGGCAGCTTAGAAGTAAGTTGTGTTTGGAGGGAAGGCACCCATACAGCTTGGACCACATGATTGATTTCAAAAACTATTAGAAAAAATAACATTTAGTTTTTAAATTTATAAAACAATAAAGCTTAAAAATGGAAATAAGAGAATGGTTTTTTTAATTGCTTAATTCTTCCAAAATCACTGTTAGTGTTTTATTCTGATTCTTCCCAGTGTAATACATGTGAAATACTGGAAGGAAATATATACATTATTAGCACCATAGCAAATGTATTTTGTATACTATGTTTTTTACCTGCCAGTATGTTTGACAATTTTGTATGTGTTAACGTACATTCCGCAACTATCGCGTAAATGTCTGTGTAAAATTCCATCAACCTGATGTCTCATCATTTACCTGACCCCTCAGCTACTTGATCCTTGCATTCCTATGCCACCGGCAACATTTAGGTCACTGCCCATTTTTCAACTATCCTAACACAGCAAGCTCTAGGTTAATATTTGAAGCTGATCTATGCTTTGTATCGTTGCTGTGATCCCAGGATACGGCATCTGCCGAGTTAAAAGGGGTGGTCGTCCTAAGGGGTCTCAGTGTGTCTTGCCAAAGTGATTTCTTTGTTCCATCCCAGGCCCACAGGTGGCACCAACCCTGCCAGTTCTGTGTGTGCGGCCCACCTTGCTGAGAGCTGGCCAGGGCTCCAGAGTCTGTTTACTGAGTCATTTTCTCTACTTGAGAAGTAACTGCTCACAGGTTTTGCTCGTTGGTCCAAATGACCATGTGTTTATCGTTTGCGGGAAAGGTGTTTTTTCCTGGGCTTAGGTTTGCTTTTTATCTTTTTATTTATTTATTTACCTTTATTCAAACAGAAAGTCACAAAAATTATAATCATCCTCATCAGTTCACTCAGTCCCATTAATTAATAATTATTTTTTCATGTTGATCTTTTGTTAGCACTTTTATGAAATCATCTAATGGAAAACCATTAGAGTTCTGAAAATGCTTATTCGTTCAGTTCAGCAGTATAGTCAGTTACCAGAAACCTGTACTTGTCAGAGTCTTTTCCATGAATTCCTTGAAGAAAAACCCTTTTACAGGAACATTTTTGCGAAAGCCTCAGAGTCCACCCAGAACTGTCTGTAATGACAAAAGCCTTAAAACTGACCACGGTTAAAGATTTGATGAAAGTTCATAACAATGCAATTGATGAGGAAATTTAGTTTTCTGAGATATACAAATTTATTTCTGAGATATACATTTTAAAGTAATAACTAGAATTATGACTTATAACATTATACCAAAACATATAAGATTTTTAGAAATTTCAGGTAATGTCTGAAACATTTATATTAACATATATTAACATATTTCCATAGAAATAACCGAAAGAAAGTTTAGTATTAGTTGTTCTTTTTGTTTGTTTTTTTATACTGCAGGTTCTTATTAGTCATCAATTTTATACACATCAGTGTATACATGTCAATCCCAATCGCCAATTCAGCACACCATCATCCCCACCCCACCGCGGTTTTCCCCCCTTGGTGTCCATACATTCACTACATCTGTGTCTCAACTTCTGCCCAGCAAACCAGTTCATCTATACCATTTTTCTAGCTTCCACATACATGAGTTAATATACGATATTTGTTTTTCTCTTTCTGACTTCACTCTGTATGACAGTCTCTAGAGCCACCACGTCTCAACAAATGACTCAATTTCGTTCCTTTTTATGGCTGAGTAATATTCCATTGTATATATGTACCACATCTTCTTTATTCATTTGTCTGTTGATGGGCATTTAGGTTGCTTCCATGACCTGGCTATTGTAAATAGTGCTGCAATGGAACGTCAGGGTGCGTGTGTCTTTTTGAATTCTGGTTTCCTCTGGGTATATGCTCAGTAGTGGGATTGCTGGATCATATGGTAATTCTATTTTTAGTTTTTTAAGGAAACTCCATACTGTTCTCCATAGTGGCTGTATCAGTTTACATTCCTACCAACAGTGCAAGAAGGTTCCCTTTTCTCCACACCCTCTCCAGCATTTGTTGTTTGTAGATTTTCTGATGATGCCCGTTCTAACTGCTGTGAGGAGAGACCTCATTGTACTTTTGATTTGCATTTCTTTAATAATTAGTGATGTTGAGCAGCTTTTCATGTGCTTCTTGGCCACCTGTATGTCTTTTTTGGAGAAATATCTATTTAGGTCTCCTGCCCATTTTTGGATTGGGTTGTTTGTTTCTTTAATATTGAGCTGCGTGAGCTGTTTATATATTTTGGAGATTAATCCTTTGTCCATTGACTCGTTTGCAAATATTTTCTCCCATTCTGAGGGTTGTCTTTTCGTCTTGTTTGTGGTTTCCTTTGCTGTGCAAAAGCTTTGAAGTTTCATTAGGTCCCATTTGTTTAATTTTGTTTTTATTTCCATTACTCCAGGAGGTGGATCAAAAAAGATCTTGCTGTGATTTATGTCAAAGAGTGTTCTGTCTATGTTTTCCTCTAAGAGTTTTATAGTGTCCATTCTTACATTTAGGTCTCTAATCCATTTTGAGTTTATTTTTGTGTATGGTGTTAGGGAGTGTTGTAATTTCATTCTTTTACATGTAGCTGTCCAGTTTTCCCAGCACCACTTATTGAAGAGACTCTCTTTTCTCCATTGTATATCTTTGCCTCCTTTGTCATAGATTAGTTGACCATAGGTGCGTGGGTTTATTTCTGTGCATTAATTTTGTATCCTGCAACTTTACCAAATTCATTGATTAGCTCTAGTAGTTTTCTGGTGGCATTTTTAGGATTCTCTATGTATAGTATCATGTCATCTGCAAAGAGTGACGGCTTTACTTCTTCTTTTCTTATTTGGATTCCTTTTAGATCTTTTCCTAGAACTTCCAAAACTATGTTGAATAATAGTGGTGAGAGTGGACATCCTTGTCTCGTTTCTGATCTTAGAGGAAATGCTTTCAGGTTTTCACCACTGAGAATGATGTTTCCTGTGGGTTTGTCATATATGGCCTTAATTATGTTGAGGTAGGTTCCCTCTATGCCCACTTTCTGAAGAGTTTTTATCATAAATCGGTGTTGGATTTTGTCAAAAGCTTTTTCTGCATCTATTCAGATGATCATATGGTTTTTCTGCTTCAATTTGTTAATATGGTGTATCACATTGATTGATTTGCGTATATTGAAGAATCCTTGCATCCCTGGGATAAATCCCACTTGATCATGGTGTATGATCCTTTTAATGTGCTGTTGGTTTCTGTTTGCTAGTATTTTGTTGAGGATTTTTGTATCTATACTCATCAGTGATATTGGTCTGTAATTTTCTTTTTTTGTAGTATCTTTGTTTGGTTTTGGTATCAGGGTGATGGTGGCCTCATAGAATGAGTTTGGGAGTGTTCCCTCCTCTGCAATTTTTTGAAAGAGTTTGAGAAGGATGGGTGTTAGCTCCTCTCTAAATGTTTGATAGAATTCACCTGTGAAGCCATCTGATCCTGGACTTTTGTCTGTTGGAAGATTTTTAAGCACAGTTCTAATTTCATTACTTATGATTGGTCTGTTCATATTTTCTGTTTCTTCCTGGTTCAGTCTTGGAAGGTTATACCTTTCTAAGAATTTGTCCATTTCGTCCAGGTTGTCCATTTTATTGGCATAGAGTTGCTCGTAGTAGTCTCTTAGGATGCTTTGTATTTCTTCGGTGTCTGTTGTAACTTCTCATTTTTCATCTCTTAATTTTATTGATTTGAGTCCTCTCCCTCTTTTTCCTGATGAGTCTGGCTAATGGTTTATCAATTTTGTTTATCTTCTCAAAGAACCAGCTTTTAGTGTTATTGATTTTTGCTGTTGTTTTCTTTGTTTCTACTTCATTTATTTCTGCTCTGATCTTTATGATTTCTTTCCTTCTACTAACTTTTGGTTTTGTTTGCTCTTTCTCTAGTTCCTTTAGGTGTAAGGTTAGATTGTTTATTTGAGATGTTCCTTGTTTCTTGAGGTAGGCTTGTATAGCTATAAACTTCCCTCTTAGAGCTGCTTTTGCTGCATCCCATAGGTTTTGGATTGTCATGTTTTCATTGTCATTTGTCTCTAGGTAATTTTTGATTTCCTCTTTGATTTCTTCAGTGATCTCTTGGTTATTTAGTAACGTATTGTTTAGCCTCCATGTGTTTGTGTTTTTTACGTTCTTTTCCCTGTAATTGATTTCTAATCTCATAGCGTTGTGGTCAGAAAAGATGCTTGATATGATTTCAATTTTCTTAAATTTACTGAGGCTTGATTTGTGACCCAGGATGTGATCTATCCTGGAGAATGTTCCATGCACACTTAAGAAGAAAGTGTAATCTGCTGTTTTTGGATGGAAATATAAATATTTATATTTTTAAATATTTATAAATATCAGCCCTATAAATATCAGTTAAGTCTATCTGGTCTATTGTGTCATTTAAAGCTTCTATTTCCTTTTTTATTTTCATTTTGGATGATCTGTCCATT